CCCTTCCGACCCTAGAAACTATGAAACTATGAAACATTGAATGCATTTCCCATGGGATTAGCTCTGCGCTCGCAGAAGCCCTCCTGCACAGCCCGTCTTCCAGGACAGCCTGTCTCACTGGCTGTTCACGTGCATTTGTCACAAAGTGCCAGGAAAAGGGGAGAGAAATGCCTTTTTTTAAAGAAAAAACAAAAGAGGTGAGGACTGCAGGAGAGGGGCAAGGCTGAGAACCAGGGAGGTTTCTTTAGACATGATTTGAGTTTCCAGCTACCAGCATCCCCTGGATGCATACAGTCTCTGTGTTTGTTCACAAACCTACACCGAGTTTGAAGGACCCAACAGAGGACAGGACCCCTACCCAGGTGTAACCTACTCTATTCCAGCAGAGAATTACCCTGGGAAAGATTGGGGTAAAGCTACAGCAGCGTGCAATTCCCCTGGGACAGATGCAGCGTGTCTGTTCCTGTTTTGGGACAGCCAAATGCTCTTTGCACGCAAGCCGTTACTTGCTCCCTTGCTTAGTGGCCAAGAACAGCAGTAGCTCACTACCTAGTAGCTGCTCATTGTCTGTCTACTCTGGATCCTTAATGTAAATTATACCTGGGTCCAAAAACACCACAGATTACACTGCTGTAAAGGTGTTCCCAGTGCTGACTGCAAATACCCAGTGCAGCTAACACAGTCATATTGCACTGTACTGCAGTACTGCTATCACTGCATACATTTCTACTGCAGGCCCAGTGGCCTAATGGATAAGGCATCAGCCTCCGGAGCTGGGGATTGTGGGTTCAAGTCCCACCTGGGTCGATTTGGATAGCAACTTTTTGCACCACTTATTGGCATGGGTACAACAGCAACTGCCACCTGGAGGCATCCCAAGGGCCAGTCTTTGCTCTCAAGGTAACTTCAGCTTCCCTGCATCTGTGCAGGGGGCTGTACTAGCTGGCCCTTGACATCCCTTTCAGCAGGGAGAGCCTCTCTTATGCCCACTGCCGTTATCCCTACTTTCCGAATGGGAAAATTCAGACACAGGTGATCCGCCCCATCACTGGTATCAGCATCACTTTCATGCACAGGACGTGGGAGGAGCACAGAACCAGGCCTGCTGCCCGTGCTGCACGGACCAGGACAAGCGGGGAGAGACCCGGCCACATCTGCATGGACTCTGCAAAAAGGGGCAAGAAAACCCAGACCCTCTCATGCTTTGGGGCCTTGGCACCAGCTGAGCCCCTCTTCTGCACTTAAACGGAGCAGCAGCTCTAACAGCGTGCAGCAAGGCCACATCTACCTCCAGCTCAGTAGGTCCCCAAAACTGCTATAAAGCATCATCTCACCCCAGCTCCAACGCCCTTCAGAACTGAGCACGTGGAGCCAGTTTCTTCATGGCGTAAGGGGGATTTTGCTTGCTACCCCAGGGTTGAATCTGGCTCGCTGGTTCTGCTTGTGGGTTGGCATCACCATGGCACTTCTCTGGCTGCAAGTGAGTTGTGTCGTTCCCAATCAGCAAGGCACATTCATCAAGGGGCAGAACCCGATCAACATGGGTGAAAAATCAGAAAGCCAGAAAAGCCTGATTTCCACTTAAAAGTCAGGCGCAGGGCTGGCACTTTGGTGCTGCGGGCCAAGGAAGCTCGCCGGCACCCCCTGCTGCTTCCTAGAAGCACGGCAGCGGGGACAGAGACGGCATCTGGCTTGCGCGAGCAGAGCCAGACCCCTCGCTCCCCAGCCAGCTCTGCATTGCAAACGGCTCAGGTCACGGCAAGCAAACGCATGGCCCTGAAGTACGGACTCCTCCAAAACTGTGCGAGCTTTTCCCCAAAAGCACTCAGCATCACGTTTCTTCTGGAAAAGCAGAAACTCATGGAAGCCGATTTACACGCACGGGCAGACGGAGGGACTGCCGACCACTACCTGCTGCCTCCCTGCCTAGAAAATGGACAGGGTTAAGTTGCCTCCAGAGCTAGAGCACAGACCTTCACTCTCTACAAGGCAGCCCGTGAATGGCCACTAGCCCCTCTGGCATCTTTGTGGCAGAGATATGAAAGGATCCATTTCTAAACAGTGCCACGTAAGACGTTTTCCAGCGTGCAAAGCCAACTGAGAGAGGCAGGAGTGATGACAATTTACATTTCTGCCAGACGTGAGGCCAGCGACACTCCCCGCACGACACGCGGAGGCCTGGCACTACAAGGGCTCACATGCCAGCCTGGAGAGAAGGTACCTTTAGACCCCTCTCCACAGCTGGGACAGGCAGGCTCCTTGGGCTCCAGGGACGCCCTGAACCTGGGCTGGGCTCTCTCCAGCCGAAGGAACGAGCTCTTTGGAAACGGCTGCTCTCCAGCACCCCTCAGGAAGCAGATTTCCTGCTGAAATTTCCTCTGCTGCATTCACCAAGTCGGACACGAGAGGGAGCGTGTGCTCTGCACGGCCACACTGGAAAACCGTCTCCATTCAAAACCCCCAGAACTTCTCCCATTTCTGGGAGCAGATCAGTGAGCCCCCATGCACTAGCTACCCTGCCACTGGCTGAGGAAAGCCCATTCCCCCTCCACGAATGATGATGATTTCCAGCCCCCCCCAGCACCTTCACATCTGCCTGGTCCTTTGGAGTCCATAAGTTTCCTTGCTTCCCCCAGACACGTTCCATCTCGCCTGTGGGCAGCTGGCCCCTGCTTCCCTCCCACGTCGAAACAGAGCCTCTGGGT